CATTTCTAAGAAAGTTTAACTGTGGGAAGAAGATCCTCTCCAGGATGTCCTTCCAGCAGCCCAAGAATGAAAGAGAAAGAAGGCTGGAGCAATGCTGCTCACATATGTGTCCTTGCTTCTCAATGGTGAGTATCCTGCTCTTTTGGCTGTTGTTCCTACTGCTGCTGCCATCTCTCCCTGACATCAGACTCCAGCTTTCTTAGGTTTCAAAATGGACTGATAATCAGTGACTCTCTCTATTAGTTACTTTTCTATTGTTCTGATAGAAACACCATGAATAAGGGAACTTAAAAATAGGAAGAGTTTATTTTGCTTATGGTTCCAAAGGGGCAAGAGTCCATCATGGCGGGGAGGCAAGGTGACAGAGGTAGCTGGAGTATGAGAAGCTAAGCTCTCACATCTTCAAGCCAGCACAGGAAGCAGAGAGCAACTGGAGATCTGGCAAGGCTTAAGAACTCTCTAAGCCACCCCAAGTGATATGATGGCTACACCTTCTAAGATCTCCCAAAACGGCAGTACTAGCTGAGGAAAAAATTCTCAAATATTTGGAGCCTGTGGGGGACATTCTCATTTAAACCACCACACACTCCAAGAATCTTCTAGACTTTCAGTCCCAAATTAGGACTGCTAAGCCAGCCAGCCTTATGGTCTGAGCATTCTCTGCCTAGAGAATTCTCTGCATCTCTAGCATGAAGACAACCATGGTCAGACTACCCAGCACCTACTGTGTAAGTCAATCTAATAATTCCCTTTTTATAATATGTATTCACTCTACTGGTTCTGTTTTGGAGACCCTGACTAAAAATGTTATTAGGAGACATAGTATGTTGGTTTGACATGGTGTCAGTTCATGGCATTAACAAAAGCTGAAACTTCCACATCTCCTTATAGCCCAGGTTTCTACAGTTTATAAAGACTGGGAAAATACTCTCAAGGTAATGCTTTGTATGGCCAGTCAGACAAAGATCCCATGTTTGCACAATAAGGCTTTGAAAACTGCAATTTTCAGTGGTGTTGCTGACTGATTCTTGATGAGAGTAGGTTTGAGAGCTGCAATAATGCTGGTTACCATCTCTCCATAGGACATGAATGCATTTTGCTAAGGTCTGTGGGGCTCTCATCAAGCAGAAGGACTTTAGTGAATAAAAACTTTAAATACTCTCATCAAGACACAACAATTCAAAAGCACAATGCCACTAACTCATTGGCATGTACAAAGACACGTACAAATATACACACACGCACATACATGCACACACACACACACACACTTTAGATATAGATTGAAAGATATTTAGATGATAGATGATTCAAGGTTATTTTTGAATCTTTTAAAATGCAAATGTAAATATCTCTATATTGCTGTTAGAAAGAATGATGTAAAAGTCAGAACAGTGTCATTCATGCCTTTCCTCTTTTGAAATTGTGCTTTTCATATAATTCTGGCTTATCAACATATATCAAAAGAAGAACATTTTATGTAACCTAAAAATAGAAATATTAAGATGGAGTCCAAGGTATGTAGATACAATTTTGGCCGCTTGAGCTTTCCTGGTTATGATTACACTGTACAATATATTCCTCTATTTTCAAAGCATCATGCAGGCGCTTAATTTCATGAGACCATGGCAATCACATTATTGTTGTTGTTGTTTTCTGTGTCTTATATTATCTTCATTCAAAACATTGCTTTCAACATTACAACATAGGCAGAGAAAAATAATTTGGAACAGCTTTGCTATAAATAAAATAGAGCCATTGAAATTCCAGGTTAAAGGCATCTATAGTCTAGACTACTTTTCCTTTGGGCTTTGTGAATATAAGCAAATATATACAGTCAAGGAATATATAAAAACTACAGTCCAATCTGTTGTGAGTCAATAATGTATTTTTATATCTTGAATATCACATCTTGAAATCGGTTCAATGTGTAGGAGATCTTCCTATTCTCCTCCACATGTGACCTACATTATATCTGCTCTATACTGTACATAGTCAACTAGACCTCTCCGACTCAGGAACAACTTCATTTAGCGACTCAGGCTAAAGCATTTAACACTCTACACAAATCAAGAGTCAATGCTTACTATTCAATTTGTCATGTGATCAGGCTGTTAGTGTACAGCATCTTTCCGAACATGTGTAAATACTTATACACACATACCACAGAAAGAAAACTGTCACTCTCCCCTGCATGGATACATGGATGCACATTACTTAACCTAAAAGTAATATGATTAAGTAGTTACTATGTCCTTACCTATTAAACCAGGAAGGCCAGGTGAACCACTTTCTCCAGTGAGCCCTCTGTCTCCTTTTTCACCTGGAGGTCCAGGAGGACCTTAAAAATAACAAATGCTTATTATAATTATAAATCAGAGACAATTAGATTATTTATAAAGACATTTTTATGGAAATCCAAATTATTCTATTTGTTGTGCAATAATACAGCATGAATAACTCTGACCTTCCTAAATGGCTATTGAGAAATGTAATGCCTTCTACTGATAAAGATATCATAGATTCAAATTAAACAATGTAAATATGTACTAAATATTGTGTGGTTAACACTTTACTGATTCCTAAGAACCTGAGATCAAAGAAAAAGATACATAACAACACAAAATAGTATCAATATTGTTCACGTACTAGTCAGATTTCATTATACTGAGTTAGATACTGTGTAGAAAATGTCTGAGTAAGAACATATAAGACATTTGAAATAACTTGAATGGGAACAAAACTCATGCACTGTAAACAACTAAAAACCAATGTTTTTTAAACTGATTGTGTGCTCAGTTATGTCAAGAATAAAGTGGTCATGAGTGACAACAGGAGAGATACTTTGTTAAAGGGGTGGGATTTGAGGACAACTTAAAGAATGAGTAGAAGGGAAAATAATTGGAGAAATGAGAATAATGTGTGGACAGGCAACAAGGTAGAGAAATACTTCCCCAAAATTGAGGAAAATCCTTAGATACAGACAAAATTTGATGGAGAGATGACATGGAAAATACTGGCTCCTTGATTACAATTTCCTAGGTAATCCTCAAATAATGAGTTTGCATATTGATTTAGTTATTTGAGTTTTCTGTGTCCAGTAAAATACATATTTGATGTTCACCGTTTTAGAGTGATTATCCTATGTGTATCTTTAGAACTTAAAAATATCTGTTCCAGCCTGCCTTTTTCCATCTGCAGTGTGTAGGACAGCTATTCTTTTCTTTGTTTAAACAAAAAATGCTTAATTTTCTTTTTCAATGGCAAAAGAAAGAAACAAACTGGATGTAACACAGAATGAGTGATGCTACTGTTAATGGCGATAACCAACCACTTTTGATTGGATCTGTGACCTGCTCCACAGGAGAAAACTGGAGTTTTATACTGTAACCATGGCCTAACCCATTTCTAGGAAACTCATAGTCCCTAGATAAGAACTTATTTATGTTGTTTTTCTAAATGGTCATGCTGTCAAACTGTCTTCTACGTATTTATGTTTATAGCCATAGATTTGTGCTGCTCCCAGCTGTGATCATAGATGCTTCTTATTTCATTAGGTAGTGGTTAATGCAGCAATCCATTACTGATTGCGGTGTTAAGAATAACAGCTGTGGGTGCTTAGCCATAGATAAGGACATCTATAGCAACATCATTTCCCCCAAGGTTCAGAGAAAACCATGGAAAAAGTGGCAGAAAGAATGTAAGAGTCTAAGGATGAGGTGGAGTACTGTAAAATGCTCTCCTCTGGACATGACATAGCTGTGGTAAAAATGAGTTCACAGTAGCTGCATTTGTCTGTGCAAGACATGCACAAGGTCAAACTAGATAAAAATTCCTGCAGGGAGAGAGGAGGTGCTGCCAAGCCCCAACTCCTAGCTGAAAATCTATTAACAGTTGATGGATGCAGGGGAAGCGAGAGTCACTTTTCTTTCAGAGTGTGGTCACTGATAGGTTCCCAATGTTCCACTGAATGACCCCATGCCCATGTGCATATGGAAGCATTAATTGGACACAGTAGATTTAATAAATTGATTAGTTACATAATTAGTTAAATAATTAATATAAAAAGGGGATATCAAATTGGGAGGGAAATGTTATAGATGCTTCCTGGGCAGAGTTGGAAGTCAGGAGTGAAGGGTGGACATAAGCATGATACAATGAAATATGTATGAAATATTCAAAGAATAAATACAAATTATGATTAAAAAAAGAATGATGAAGAGGTTGTACAGCATCCCTGAATAGGACACCTATATCAAACTTCTGACCCCCAAGGCTCAGGTGTCATTTTGGAAGAGGGGGCACAAGAATTGTCAGAGCCAGAAGTGGTGGATCATCACAGGCAAACAGTTTTCCAGCCAGCTGGTCAGTTACTCATAGGAACTCAGCAACGGTGACAGTGTGCTCAAATTCCATTCAAGCTCAAACCAGAAAAATTCCTAGCACAGACTTGAGTAATTTGATAAGAAGCATCAGCCCTACCTAAAGAAACTATGTCTGCTAATGGTTACTACAAGGGGCAGAGACAGTCTCTTTCAAGTGTAGGATTCTTGGTAGGTTAAACTGGTTCCAGTGGATGTACATTTGAGAACAAAAATTATACTCTGTGGACCTTATTATATATAAAATAAGACTATAGTAAATTGCAGATGGGGAGGGGAATCTAATTACCATCAAATTATAACGTATAAAAATCACCGAAATTCAATTTAAAAAGAAACAATGAAATTATGATGTTTTTACAAGAGGTATTTTCTATTGCTGATGTTTGTCAAATACACATTGAAGAACAAGCTGTGGTTACATTTCACATCTGTACTTGAAGAATGTTTGCCACAAATTTTAACCACATCTTCAATTATAAGTTTAGGCCACACAAGTAATGATCACCTCATGGATACATGGATTCTGCCCACTTTCTTTGCTTCTTTTGATATTCTCACATCTCAGTTTTTAGGATCTGTCCCATTTTTAATATGAAACTTGAAATTTAGACGATAAGGACAGTATTACTCTTCTCATTACTACGTTGTACCCTTTTCTTCATATTAAGCACTAGAAAATAATATTTGATTGTGTCTTTATTATAAGAAGCTATTCTACTTACTCTCTGACATATAAAATTCTAGAAAAATATATGAAGAAAATATAAATAATGAGTATCATTTTAAAACAACAATCATTAACATTGCTTCTACGTATGTGGTGTGTGTGCTTGACTGTATTTTTCCCACATAATCATGCAAGTTATATACAATTGAATGTACATTAATATGAGAGTGAATAATAAATCATAGTTTAATGTTGAGAAATATATATTTAGGTGTTGAGAAATGTCATAATTCTGCATAAGATCTATGTATTTCTCAGTGTATATGGAAGATTGCAATTCTAACCCAGAAAGGGGATTTAATATCTATAGCCCTAAGCAAGTTCCAGTACATTCATCACTACCCAGTGGCACATTAGGGGACAAGCAAGACATAAAGACTCCATTTGCAGCCAGAGTTTTGTTGCCCAAACAGAAGAAAATCCATGATTTTCAAGGCTTTGAAAAGATCTAAAAAAAGATGTACAAATTCCAGGGGCAATTTAGTATGTGGACAGGAAAGGGTCATACAGATCAGAACCAGGTGCATAGCCTTTGAAATTTTATTTCCAATTTCATTGCCAGTAACAAATGAAACTCTCCCAAATATTAACTATGCATTCAGTTTCTTTGCATGTAACTGAAGGAATGATATAACAGTTTTCATCCTGGAGTATTACCTTTGCCACAACCAATACATTAGTATGACTTTTATAACATTCAGAATGGATAATCTCTGCCTATTTGTATAGAAATATAATGATATCTGGAATCTGAGTTCTAAAGTAAGAAATAAGGCAGTTTCCTTATGTAGTTCTAACTGGGTGTGCTGGTCTTATGCTTTATTGCTACATTGTTTCCCATGAACTCTTAATCTCACCTAATGTTTTAATTCTCCATTGTTTTGACTTTTCCACTGCTTACAATAATGCTATTTAGAAGATTCTTAGGGTTTTTTGTTGCTGTTGTTTATTTGTTTCTTTGTTTAGAGACAAGGTCTCAGTATGAAGGCCTAGGCAAACTGCTATAAAGATCAGACTAGCCTCCAACTCACAGAGATCCACCTGTTTTTGCCTCCCCAGTGAAGGGATTAAAAGTATGCACCATGCCTGGCTCTGAATCTTTTAAAGATATTTAGAAAGATGGAACTAAGTAAGTAACATCATTTTATTCCTAATTTCTTGTGCTTTTCTGTGACTTTCAGAAAATGGTCCTCCCCAGCCTTGCTGATGCTCACATCGTGTTACCATCCTGCAGCTGTTTTAGGGCTAGAGATTTCTATTTGGTCTGGGTGAAGCTGTGTTTGTTTCACTCTTGTATGTTTTCAGTGGGCTTAAAATAACGAAATCATTTAAGAATTTTGCCAATTTTAAGAAATGTGATTTATTTGCCATATTAAAAGGAAATCATTAAGTAAAGAGATTTAGTATCTGTTGTATTAACTGTCATTGCTATTAGTTACTTAAAATCTTACATTTTTATCATACAATAATATCAATAAATTCTTCTGTGCATCATGTTACCTTTTGGCCTCTTGCTGATATTCAAAGGAAGCAGGATTTAAAGTGCCCCAAATGTATGATTTCATCAAGAAGTTTTAAAAATCTGTATGATTCCTTCCCATCTCTGCAGCCATTCTCTCCTCCGAGTTTGCGCCCTGCCCCATTCCTTGTCTTGAGGCCCCAGAAACCTGGGGAACTAATACTGCTTCCTGATCCTTTTCATCCAGACCAACATAGTGCCTTCTCTGGGCCCCAGGAGCACTGGTTCTGGGCCTGGCCCCTCCCTCTGCTTCCCCGGGCCTGCACCACCCATCACTCTCTTTCTTGGACATGGGGCCTGACCTTTCCTCTTCCTGATCCTTTGCCTACAGACCAACGCAGTGCCTCAGTGCAGTCCCCAGGAGTTCTTGGGGCCTCTTCCACCCCATCTGCCTCTGCATCTCTGGGTGGCATGGCCACCAGCTGTCCTAGACCAGTATCTTTCCTGGGCCAGGCTCCCAGGCCAGTCCAACCCCCAAATTCCTGAGGCCAAAATTGTTCCTGGAGGGATCCAGAACTTAGGAGAAAGCCTGAAAACATCTGACCCTAATCTGAATTGTGCCTCTGTGGAACTCCTGAAGACAAAAGCAATCTACCCACTCCAATATAAAATCAAAACAGAGAACCTGAAGCTTAGAGGAACCAACTTTTCATGCCCAAAAAGTAAACCACAAAGACGCAA